TTCGCCTTCTTCTCCAATTCCTTTATCTCGGTGTTCTTCTTTCCCTCGAGCTTGGCTAGCTCGCACAGGTATTTGTCTTTCAGCATGGCCGCAACCTTTTGCTTATCTGCTTCAACTGAATCGACCAGGCCGGTGAACCGAGTTACTTTGACCTGTAGCTCGGCCATCTTCTGCTGGGATTCTTTTAGCTCGGTCGTTTTAGCATTGGCCTCTGCCATGGCTTGCCTTGTGGTCTTTTGAAGTTCCAATACACGTTTGTGGGCGATGTGATTCTTCTATAAGGCCTGCAAAAGGAGAGAAACAATTTTAAGGTGAACCAAGCGAAAATATGTTGAAATTTGGAGAAGGAAAAGAAGAACTTACCAACACCATTGATTTTGTAGCCGAGCGAATGGCCTTTAACTCGGTAAGATAATCGTGGTGATCCATATCGGCTGGAAGGCAGACGCTCTTGGCCAGATTAAAGGCCAGCAAATGGTCTTTTTCTGCGACCACTGAGTCGGAGTCAGTGATAGCGTGGTTCTTGTATGTGACCTTAGGCACCCACTTGGAGGAGCTAGCTCGGTCAGAACGCTCCGTTGTGGGTTTGGTGGTGTGGATTGATGAAGGATGGTTTCATCTTCGTCGACAAGGTGTGGCTCGGTTATGGAAGTTCGAGCACGCTTGCTTGGGTGGAATGCTGAAGGCTGATGGGATGGTAGGGCTACCACGGTTTCCTGAGTCTGACCAGCTTGTGGTACCTCGGGCTGGATTATCTCGGTGATGAGGGCCTTTACAGCTCTCTTTTTTGCCATCTCTTACTCCTCTGTTAATGGAATGAGGTTGATTTGTGGAAGGGAAGGATCAGGCTCAAGTGAGGGCTCCAACAAGAAATCGGTCACCCTGGTCTTCCTGCGGCTGCTTATTAGTAGGTCGGCTCAAAATTGAGTAGCTCGACCCAACTCCGATTGGGGTATTTTAGCGCGGCACGGAGGGCATCAAGGTTGGGGTAACTATACAACGACTTTAGAAAATTCAAGTTTGCATAAAGGAAAAAGACAACGGTTAGTACAGTTGAAAATAAGCAACGAAGTAAAGAAAAACGTGAAATTAAGCCGAGGTAATTATACCGGCGACTCTTTTGTTCTAGTTTATTCGGTCGCCTGGGATCTGGGCCTTATGGTCTTCAAAATTCCCAGAAATCCAGAAAAAATCATCGTCGTTTACATCTTTGTCTGATTTGTTTGTCTGAGGAATTCACAGAGAAAAGGTTGAATGGGAAAACAGAGACCGACCTCTACGATAGAAATAACATTAAAAGGGACGAAGCCCGGTTTTCCCCATGGAATGGTATCTAGTTCGGCTAATGAGAGGTGGACGTCGTCCGAAATTTGGTAATCCTTTCGGAACTCGGCTATGGCCTTTGGAGAGTTCACTAAAAATCGATACTTCCCCATGTGGCCTTAAATTATGTATAATTTAGCTCGGCGATGAGATGATCTTCGGTATCTCGGTTGAGGGTACAATGGTGTGCCTGGCCAACCTAAGTCAGTCTGCAAAGTGAAGAAGAAAGGTGTTAAGCACAGATCGTTGGACCGTGCTAAAAGAAATAGAGACAAAATAAATGGAGTCCTAGCTCGGCTACGTGGGATACTATCCGTCCTTAGCTCGGTGGGAGCAAAGGGTGTTAGCTCGGATCAGTGGAGTAAGAAGTTCGTAGCCTGGTTGAAGCCTATGATGCAGCATTCTTAATTCAGTTTTTATTAAGTGAGAGAGCTGGTTTGGGGCCAAGTGATAGCCTAGTCTTTGGTTAAGGTTTTTTAGTTCGGTAATGCGCACGCCTAATGCAGTTCCTTGGCGCGGCTCAATAAAACAGAAGGTACTTAGACCTATTGAAACTACAAGTATGGCGTAAAGTTTTAGTTCGGTTATTTAGTTTGGCTAGGTTCGCACCTGATACAAACAACTTCTTAGTTCGGTTGGAGTGTGATTTTGGATCTAAAAACGTCCCATTTCAGTTTGTTCGCAAATCCAGTAGGTGTGAGTACCATTCAAGAAGTTCTTACTCATTACAGAGAAAACTATTTGAAAAATGTTGTAAGAAAACACGTATATACAAATGGTACATGTTGCCAGTCAAATGGAAAGCAAAAGAGGATTGAGTTACTTACAGATGGGAGAAAGAATGATGCATATTTGAAACAGTTTGGCTAGGTTCGCACCTGATACAAACAACTTCTTAGTTCGGTTGGAGTGTGATTTTGGATCTAAAAACGTCCCATTTCAGTTTGTTCGCAAATCCAGTAGGTGTGAGTACCATTCAAGAAGTTCTTACTCATTACAGAGAAAACTATTTGAAAAGTGTTGTAAGAAAACACGTATATACAAATGGTACATGTTGCCAGTCAAATGGAAAGTAAAAGAGGATTGAGTTACTTACAGATGGGAGAAAGAACGATGCATATTTGAAACCACGAAGATGGTGTTGAAAATGCAAGCTTCGCAGGTGCAAAGGTTGCAGAAATAGAGGCTCAAGCAAGCGAGAGAGAAGATGAATAGTGCAAATGAAATGGTTCGAAGCATAAGGGTTTGTTTTGTGAAAAAGGAAGGGAAAAAAAAAGTGGGACTGTTCAAAATTCGCGAGGTACGAGGACGGCGTGACAGCTACGTTGGGCCAATGAGAGTCTGCCACGTGTACATGGAATAGAAAGTGATTCAATGACAGCGTCTGAAGAGACGTTTTTGACCGGACAGATTAATAGCCCGATGTAAATTTAGCTCGGTTGAAAGGCAAAAATTTTAGCTCGGCTGGAAACATGTAATCCCAATCATGCTATGCAGATGGAATTAAGGGGCAATTGAGAGGGTAATTTATGTCTATATTGGGCCGAGCTAAGTATGAGACTTCTTTGTTAATTGGGCTGTAGGATGGACCAAGGTAAAAGCAGATTTACTTCAGTCTAAAAGACTAAGCGTATGGGCCGAGCTAGCTAGGCATTGTGCTTGGGAAAGCCGAGCTAGCTTGGCATTGTGGGCTTGAGTGCCGAGCTAACTCCAACTTCGTACTTGGTTAGCTCGGTATTAAGGAAACAACCCGGTTGGAATATGTCAAACCGAGGTACACGCAGTGAAAGGAAGAACCGAGCTAGTTGGAGTTCGGTCTAGTCTGCGGCTTCAGCATGGCCATGTTAGCTCAGTCATATTGACATCCCACCGTGGTAAAACCATCTCACTTGGTTTAAGCAGTGAAAGGGGTGGTGAAGGATAAGCATTATCTTTTAGGAATGTGATTCCTAGAAGGACTCTACATGGAGGAGTAAGTCCTACTAGGATTGTGCCACGCGAAACCTATAAAAGATCACAACATCACCTATGGAGAGGTAACACAACTTTGATTCCTAAATTCATAGAGCTTTTGTGTCTATTGTCTATTGTGCTGACTTAGGCATCGGAGGGGTTTCCGGCACACACCTGTTGTTAGCTCACGTTTGTGTTTTTAGGTGGCAAAGCGACGACATTTCGAGGAGCACAAGCTTGCTCAACAGGATCATACGAGAAGAATTATTTCGTGCTCGTACAACTTCATATGATTTTTGATATTCAATCGATTTAATTTTTTACAGGTATGATATATATGACAAATTTTAAAATGTGAACGATTCAGATTATTAAAATTGGATTCAAAAGTCGGCCCAATGACCCATTAAGTAGGAAGTTGAGTAGGGAATTTAAGGAGAGAATCCTTACTCGAACGTTATGACCTACGCGCCACAGATTTATCCTGTCATTTTATTTTATTATTTTTATTTTAAAGATTTGAGTAAATTATTAAAATTATTTCATTTTTTCATAAAATCATTGGGAGAATTGTAATGAGTTGTATCAATTCAAAATAATTATAATGTCATGAAAGTACAAGTAACTTATTAGAATCCACTTTGAATTTATTTTACAATATTTCTCAAGTTAAAAATTAATAATTTAAAAGTAAAAGTTAAAAATACATTTTTTTTAGCATCTAATTAGGGGCTGTTTAGGGTTGATTTGGAATGTCCTAAAAAAGTGCCCTTTTGACTTATTGGCTTATATGGGTTGGGTTTGGGTTGGTTTGATATGATGTGTTAGAGAGGTGATGTGATTTAAATAAGATGAGGTGACTTAAATATGATAGTGACTTTTTGACTTTTTTTATTATTTAGGGTAGCCCAAACCAAGCCTTAGAATGACCTAAATAAGTGTACTTTTTATCTTTTTATGAAAAGATGTGCAGAAAAATAGAGAAGTGATGTGATGAAAAAAAGATAAAAAAATAAAAAGAGGAATTATTTGAAACTTCCCAAACTTGGCCTTAGTTAATTCTTATTGACACTATATATCTCACCTGGAGGATAATTTTAAGAGTACAAATTTTGAGTACATATCATTTTGAATGGAAAAAAAATTAAAGAACCAAATAGAAACATGCCCAAAGAAGCAAAGTATTGGGTGTATTTGGTTTGTGTTTGTAGAGTAATTTTTGAGATAAAAAGTACAAAAATTTATTTGATTTGCCTTTTTTTAGAAATGGTTTTGAAAAATTATTTTGGAGAGAGAGTTTTAAAAAAAGTGATTGATTTGATATATATGAGAGAGGGAGTGATTTTGAAAACTAGATAACCAAACAAAATTTTGAGGTTTTTTTAAAAAAAATTTATTTGATTTGATTACTCTTAAAAATTTATTTGTAAAAAATTTTTCTCAAAAAATTTTCTAAAAAACAAACCAAAGAAGGCCATGTCCTTCATATAGTATATATAAATTAAATTAAAAAATTCGCAATCAACTTTCAAATCAAAAATTTATGTTTAATTTTTTTTTTTAGGAAAATGTTTGAGAGCCACAAAATCAGTGGCTCAAATGGCTTAAAACTGTCAAAATGACGTCATTTTGACAGTTTTGAACCATTTGAATTACTGATTTTATGGCCCTCTAGCATTGTTGTTTTTTTTAATGCATAGTACGAATTTACTGTTAATAGGCGTTTGTTGTAAAGAACAAATTCCGAGGAGGGAAGAGGCGAAAGTACGGAACCAAACAGAATAATGGTGTTCTCCTCGAACCCCTTATCCCTGAGCGTCCCGGAGCCCGCATTCGAGTCATGGCTCCGCGACAGCGGCTACCTCGAAATTCTCGATCAGCGAACCTCCGACCTCCACCGCCTCTCCTCCTCCTCAGCCGCCGCCGCCGCCGCCGCCACCACCACCGCCACCGCCACTGCCATTGACTCCGCCACCACCATCACCAATGGCTTATTCTCATCACTTTTCTCTCACATCGGAACCCTACTATCTCTCTTCACCCTCAACCCCTTTGCTAAGCTCACCGCCGACGACTTTTCCGGCGAGACTCCGTCTTGGACCCATGGATTCATCGGATTCTTCGACTCCTACTCTTTTCCTTCCTCCTCCTCTCAGGCTCGCTTGAGGCTTCACGAGAACGTCAAGCGCTATGCTCGCAATTACGCCTCCCTCTTCATCCTCTTCTTCGCCTGCTCTCTGTATCCCCTCTCTCTGTCTCTCTATTATAGCCCTCTTTTGTTGCTTGTATATACGTATATCAATTCTAGTGTTGAAATTTACAGATTATATAGGTAGTAATTATCTCTAATTGGTTATTGTTTGTTAAGAGTATCTTCAGTGGTTTTAAATGACTAGCTATTGTTATATTTTAGCAATGAATAATGTCAAAATTTTATATTTTTGCAATGTTGCTCCTTCGGTGCAAGTGATACTCTTTTTTTTTTCCCCTCACAAAATACCAAATAGAAATGCTACAATAGGTGGATTCAATCATGAGAGATGTAGAGACAACAACAACAACTAAAAGTAGTTCAATTTTGGCTATATCTAAACCTTGTACCAAATTTAGCCATGCTAAAATATAGCATAAGGTTTAGTTAGCTATTGTAGAGCTCAGAATTGAGCTTTATGCTATTTTTTGGGGGCAATTTTAGCTATCTAACAATAGTGCGTTCTTGCTCTTGAAAGCAAGTACTTTGTAAATGCTAATTCTTTTGATCAACAAATAACCTTATCTTATTTTGAACAAAATGTGAGAAATGCTATTTATCATTGTATTTATTTCACCACTTTATATCACCCTTGTACGTGTATTCATGCAACAAACTCCATGTGTATATGTAGGATCATGCCATGTGAGAAGTCATGTAGGAGCTGAAAAGTATAGGCGAAATATTTCAATAATAAATAGAAGCCCTTTTTAGGATTTGATTATGCACCTCACATTTTGAATTGATTAGTGTATTGTGGTGGTGAGTGGGGTTAATACTACATTTTGGGGTTTGAGGAAAAGAGAGTTGAGGCTTTTGTACCCTTGATGTAGCAGGCTGTTTGATATTAATAAACTTGATTTCTTATATAAGTATTCTTGGTGTTTGTTTAAATATCCAGTCCAGTTTATTTATCCAACACCTATTTTCACTCAAATTAGGTGCTTTGTAATTATTGGTGTTTGTTAATGGTGGTCATAGGTATCAAATGCCTCTTGCGCTTATTGGGTTAGTATCAAGTTTAGCTCTTTGGGATGCATTCAAGTACTGTGGTGATCGGTGGGGATTAGTTCAATACCCTGCAATTCGACAGATCACGGTTCGCATTGCTCAGTGTGGTGAGTTAGTTCTTTGTAACTACTGCTTTTATGGAATTATTTGCCTAGCAATTTATAGAACTTATTCTGCATCAAGGGATCAGAAGTTCCTTGGTGCATTTGCAGCTTATTTAAAGAGTACGTGGAAGTAAAAAGTTTAGGTCTGCTAACATTTTCTTATGTAGCTGCATACCAATGTTAATAGTGTTACAGATCTCTTCTTTCAATAGTTTGGTATTTTGTATTAACAAAGAGCCATATAATTGTAAGTTTTCTGAATGAAACTGTATATTAGATCGAATTTATTGAACAAAGAATACACCAATAAATCACTTATATACAAGGTTTTAAAAAGCGGCTGCAACCGTTACGTAACGGTTGTGGTAGTTACCGCCACCCGTTACGGCCGCTTTTGTAGTGTGATTGAGATTCAAAGGTGTATCGGCTGTAGCGGCTGCTATAGCGGTCGTAACAGTGCTGTAACGGCCTTTTACGCACCGTTACGTAACGGTTCCGAATTGCTTCTTTTGAAAAAATACAAAAAAAAAAAAAAGAAGTTGAAAATGGGGAAGAGAAATAGAAAGAGAAGAGGGAAAATGAAGAGGGAAGATGGAGGAACAAGAGATAGAGATAGAGAGAGAGAAGAGGGAAGATGAAGAACATGTTATTGATTTGTTGAAGCTGTAAGACTTATGTTATTCTATTCAACTACTATCACTCAACCATTTTGTTTGTGTGTGTCTATCTATATATTGTTTGATAATAATAATAATAATAATAATAATAAGAAGTGTGATTGTTATCTATTTGGCTTGATTAATATATATATATATATTTAGGCTTTTATTTATTCTCTTACTTTTGTCATTGTTTATCTTATATATAATAGTTAGTGATTGATTTTTTGTATAATATAAAGTCATCAATTATTAAAATAAAATGTAAAAAACTTAGTTTATAGTGATTTAAAAATATGAAATATATTAACCGCGCTACCGCCACAGTTACGGCAACCACAACCGCTTTTCAGAACCTTGCTTATATAGAATACTAATTCCTAATCCTAAATGAATACACCACTTATATATAATTATAATAGACATAGAACACTAAGGCCTAATCCTAAAAGGAAACACTGAATAGGGATATTCTTACACCCTCGCTCAAACTCAAGGTATTTTAGCAGAAAACACTGATAGTTTGTCAAGAAAAAACCGAAACCGAGCAGTGGTGTGTGTCTTGGTGAAGAAATCAGCAAGTTGCAGAGTCGAAGAGACAAAAGGAAGCGAGATAAAACCAGACTACAGATGCTGACGGACGAAGTGACAATCAATTTTAATGTACTTTGTCCGTTCATAAAAGACAGTGTTATGAACAATTTGAATAGCACTTCGGTTGTCACAATAGAGAGGTCGGGGAAGGTTGAGGGACGCCCAAGTCAAATAAGAGACCACGAAGCCAGACAATTTCAGCAGTAGCATGAGCCATAGCACGATACTCAGTTTTGGCAGTAGAACGGGTAACAACAGCTTGTTTCTTATTTTTTCAAAAAATCAAGGAATCGCCAAGAAACATATAAAAACTAGAAATAGATGTACTTTCACCAATTTGACTAGGAGAAATTTTACCCAACAACCCTGACTGAGCTCATGATTGTAAGCTGTCAATAGACAAATGACCGAGGCGAGAATGCCATAAGTAAAACTGACTTGATTGAGAATCTAACTGAAACGAGGAAAGTGTAGCTGGAGAGGTGGATAAGAGGAGATGCAAGTTTTTGATCACATAGAGATCTTCAACTCTACGACCGGTCCCAATATGCTTCTTGGACACCCGATACTACATACAATAAACAGAAAAGGAAAAGATAATATCAAAACCAGACGCATCAAGTTGACTGATCGACAATAAACTGACAGATAACTAAGGAACATAAAGAACAGAAGGAATAGTAGCAGCAGACATGACAGGAGGTAAAATAGACCCAATAGACTGAACAGACATACTAGATCCATTAGCAGAAAAATGGTAATAGGAACGGGTGGGGGAATACAGTTGTGAAGTAAGGAAATGTGAGGAGTCATATGATGAGAGGCACCAGAATCAAAAAGCCAAATAGAAAAAGGAATACCTGAAGAGGACCCAAGTAAACCTGAATGAAGAGAGGTAAGAACGAAGGCAGATGGGGATGGCTGAGGGATAGACAAGATATGCTGAAGTTGTGCAACTTGAGCACTCAAGGAAGTCATGTTAGGATCGGGAGTCGGAGTAGATGCAATATAAGCGGCAGGAGGTCGGAAAGTACCCGAAGTAGGACCGCGGAACTGCGCCTGAGTAGACGGTGCAGGCTGACGTCCCTTCTTGGGATAGTTGTTCTTCCAATGACCCCTCTGATGGCAGAAAGCACACTTATCTGGCCCTAATGGTCCTTTCTTGGATTTCGCAATGGCCTGAAGCTGATGAGGAGGTGGAGTCAATAACAAGGGAGGCTTGGCAGGAGTCAAGAAGACAGAAGGAGACCGAATCTGACTGGCCATCTTAAGACGGGTTTCCTCGGAGAGAAGCTCACGAACAATAGCATCCACAGAGGGAAGAGGAGATCGGTGAAGGATGCCATCTTGGATAGCCTCATACTGAGGGGAGAGAGTCGTTAAGAACTGCACTAAACGACCCTGCTCCCAAAACTCAAGTTAAGTGTCCAGCATCTTGAGACTAGATGATTCCATAAGAGCCAACTGATCTTAAAGACTTGTCATCTCAATATAGAAGTCCTAAATAGTTTGATCTCGCTGACGAGCACTCTGAATAGTTGTTTCCAACTCATACCTCGTGGCAAAGTTAGATTGCTGATAAACACCTAGTAAATAATACCACACCTCCTTGGCAGTACTGTACTTGAAAAACATCATTTCAATATGGTCATCCACAAAATTATGAAATCGGGTCAGAATTTGGACATTATCATAATTCTAAGTATCACAGGAAGTCAAATATCCTTCCACCTTCGGGTTCGATGGACGAGGAATAGAACCAGAAACATAACCCCATTTTTTTGACCAAGAAGAAATTTTTTCATAACATTGGCCCTATAGGCATAATTGCCACCAGTGAGTTTGTATTTTATAACTTGGATTTTAGTGTCTAACATTGTAATAAAATAAAGTTTATAAAATGTTATGGGTCAACCAGGAACAAACAGAGAACTGATGTGTTTAGATTGTAATAAACCAAAATCAAAACTAGAGAGAATGGGTTAAACACTACCAAAATAGACCAACCAAATCCAGTGAGCGAAAGAGAGAGGGATGTTGCGAGGGAACCTGAACCAGAGAGTGACCTCGTGGGCCAGAAATCGAACCAGACAAGTTCGAGAAAGGAAGATGTCGATTGCGAACAGATGAACCAGGCGAAAAATCGCAATTCCAGCAACCACCTACAAATCACGAACAGAGAACTAGATGGAGAAGACTTGCGACTGCTGAACTAGATGGAGAAAGCTTGATGGGTCGTGAGATAGGTTGATTCAAACCAGATGGGATGCGATTCAAACATAGATGAGTCGGACAGATGTGACGAACTAGAGGGCAAACTCGATCGAACCAGAAATCAGAACCAAGGACCTAAACACGATGGCTTCTAGGGTTTCATAACCTGGCTCTGATACCATGTAAGTTTTCTGAATAAAACTATATATTAGATTGAATTAATTGAACAAAGAATACACCAATACATCACTTATATAGAACACCAATTCCTAATCCTAAATGAATACACCACTGATATAGAATTCTAATAGATATAGAACACTAAGTCCTAATCTTAAAAGGAAACATTGAATAGGCATATTCTCACAGTAATTTGAACTCTCAGTGGGCAAGGGCCTCCTAAGATAAAAGTAAAAGGGATCAGAAAATGATTGGATGTCAATTTTTGAAAAGCATTTTGAATGAAGTGGGAAACATCTCCCATATCTATGATAAATCATCATTGAGGATCTCTTGGATTATAGGCAAAGATAAAGATGCCTCATGGAAGCTACTATCTTTATGTAATTCCGAGCTTACTTGCTTTGAGTAGTACTATTGGCAGCACCCAAATCACCTGAACTGGATGACATGCAAATCCGCCCTCCTTGTTGCGGGTAGGCTCCACACAAAGCCCCAATAATAGGAAGATTATCCCAAGTCTAGTTATACAATAGGTGGCTAATTTTCTTTCTGTTAACCAAATGGAGGTTGGTGCCTTGAATCATGAAAACATCTAGGTGGCTGAATTGAGAACCAAATCATTGACTCTCTTTTAATTTTTTGGTAAATATTGACTAACCTATTTTGTGTGATAAATTTTATATGTTTCAGCTAAGAGTTTTCGTTGACAACTTTCTGTTCTGCTAAAACTCTAGATTCCAACTGCTTGATAATAGATTTAAAAGCTCTAGGTTCCAATTACTGTTTAGTCTTCAAAGTGTGGCCAGGGGGGCTAGTCATTATGGGCCTAGTACAACACTTTCTGATAAGCTCTTGTTGAATATTCTGTGGGTATTTGGGAAGTTGTTATTTTAGTAAACTATTTTAGTTTTTGGCTATTTTAGTAGGCTAAAATTTTTGTATTTGGGAAGATGATTGGATTTTTTTTATAGTTGGATGTGATGTTTATAAAAATAAAAATAAAAATGATTATGGATTTGATGTGACATTTTGTCTTATTAACTATTTTAGTCTATTTTGTATTTTCGTGGATTTTAGCCTAAATTGGGCCAAAATCTCACTTCCCAAACAGTCCCTCTGTCTGGTTCTTTCAATATGTGTGTTTTCATATATACATGCATATATGAATACTGTGCTGCACTATTTCACGAGTCATGAGAAGCTGACTGTGTCTTCTTTTAATGCACAGCCAAATACCAAAATATGATTTGACCAGTTTGGGGGATTGTCTTCCCCATGTAAAATCTACCCCTTTGGCAAATCTTCTTTTCGAACTTCTAGACTACACACTTAGGTGAAGGTCCTGCAAAAAGATGCTTGGCAAGAGTTAAGTTTTTGATCCAAGCTTTCTTGAAGGCTCTTTGCTAACTGCCACTTTTTTCAGAAAGTCAGTGATCGAATCCTTTGCTTATTATTTCTACTATGCTGCCCTTGACACCTTGATACTATGCTAAAGGAAATGTTCTAAAGGGGGTTCTATCATTTATAGTCATTGGTGATGCAGGATTGCATGATCGATAATTTAGAGAATGAGATGGTTGAAGGCAATTCAGCTAATCCCACCAGTTGGTTTTGTTATGTCAATAGCGGTCCTTAGGGGTTCTATCATATTTCTTGAGTTATTACTGAACTAACTTTTCTCCAGTTGTCTTTTGTCTGGCCATGCAGACACTCTTGGTTGAAGGAGCCCATTTGATTTCATTTGTTCTAAAAATTGTGTGTTGTCGTCTCAACCTCGAAAATATTGAGCAAAGTATTAGGCATAAAATCAAGTATAAATGAGGAGATGAGAAGAACAAATATAGTGACAGTAGGCAAAAGAAGGTGGACTAGTCAGTAGTTGAAGAGAATAGAGCCTAGGCAATTTGTTAGCTGCACTTACAAAACTTGAGTGTTTATGTCAAACTTAGATACTTGCCTGCCCAAGATTTTTTATTTATTTTTAGTTAGTACTGGGAAAAAAATTGACAGATCAATTGTAATTGAGGATTGGATGTGAAGCATTTCTTTGGCAGTAGCCTAATACATCCTCTCGTGCCTTGGCCGTATCTCTAAAGGGTCTTGGTGCCGAAAAAGGCTCAGGCGCATGTGCTGCATTGTGCGCCTCATAACAGTTGGTAGATCCCCGTTCACGGAGGTTGAGAGTTTCCTATGGAATGACTTGTTTTTCATTACTATTTTTTTCGTGGGTCAGTTGTTTTGTTCTCTTCTTTCCTCAGGGAAATGAAATTCTTTTGGAACATTTCTCTCCAAAGAAAATGAACTCTATGGCAAGGTGTTGAAATTATTCTAGTTTTCACCTGCTGTCCTAATATTAACTGTCTCTCACTCTTGCAGCAACTGCCATTATTCTGTTCGTGTCCAACATTCAGATGGCTCTCTTCTGTTCTCTTGGTGTCAGCTATGCAGGTAACATGGGTTTTCATTTCATGTGCACTTTCTTTTTGTCCATCTCGTATTTCATGAGCTTGTTCTCAGTAGCAAACACCCCTGTAGTTGTAATTTTGCATGCCTCATTTCGGAAGCTGACTCCTGCAAAGCAACCTGCACCTGCACGGGGGAGAGGGAGATAGAAATGTCTCGACAGTTGTAAGATACGACTTTGCCGTTCATACATATTGCTGCTATGTATCAACAGCTTCACTGTAAAGCATTACTGTGCAGTGGATCTTGCAGATAAAAGTTTCATGTTTTTGTCGGATCAATCCATTCTTGCTTCCCTTTTGACTTTTCGTATATGAAAAGGAACCCTACCATATATTCGTAGTTACTAGTTTTTTGGAGAATAGGTTTTATTGCCTTGTTTGTTGAACGTGGAAAGCCATGTATTTTTAGGCAGACTGTCCTTGCAAGAATGTGAAGGGGTTATGTTTGGATTTGGATTTGGATTTGTAAAGTGAAAAGAAAATAAGGAAAATGAAATCATTTTTTATGGGCAAATACAAATTAAATTTTTTTTTTTCCTGCTTTATATTTTTTTATGCACCGTTTGTTTGGACGAAAAATATTTTCTATCGAAATACATTTTTTAGGAAACTTTTTAAAAATATATATATATATATATATATTTCTATGTTTGGTAGTAGTGGTGGTGGGACGAAGGTAGAGTTGATGGGGTGGTGGCAACTGTGATGGTGGTGGTGGTAATGTGGTGACATGAATAGTTTAGTTCAAAACATTTTTTATCTAAACAAACTTATTTGTTTGTTGATCATCAAAAATATTCAGTTGAATTTTGATTTTCATTGTACTACCAAATGCCAACAAATATTTTTTATCCAAACAAACGAAACATTAATTCTCTCTCTCTCTCTCTCTATATATATACAGTATATAGATATATATGTTATATAAAATGATAAGATAAATTCTCATTTTTTTTTGCCTTTAATCTTGTCAAAAGTTAAATCTATATTAATAATTAAGAATGGCAACGGGGCAGGGCAGGGTCGGGGACCACACTCTTCGTCCCCGATCCTCGATGGTGGAAATTTCTCCGTCCTCGGCCCCGATCCCCAACGGGGAACCTATCATAACCCCTAACAGGGATCGGGTTTCCCTGACCCCGAAAACTCCCCGGCCAAAAAAAAAAATAAAAAAAATCAACTCCAAAAAATACAAGAACTCAACTACAACATCAACATCATTTTCATCATCTAACACATTAAGCAAATCTAAGCTTCGCTGATCAAAAAAAAAAAAAAAAGACCTGAGCTCAACATCTTCATCTTCATCTTTATTATTTTCCAGATCTGAAGCTCATCTTCATCTTCATTAACTTCTCAACAGATTTGAGCTCAACATCTTCATCTTCATTAGCTTCAGAGAGTAGAGGAGAACGGGATGAGAGAGTGAAGAGATGAAAGAGAGGGAAGACAGTTTCAGAAGAGAACGAGAGATGAGAGAGAGGGAAGACAGAGTCAAGATAGATAGATAGGATAGATATTATATTATATAACCTAAACACAACACAGTAGATATTATATTATGAAAAATGATTTTTTCCCTGATTTTGAGCCCTCCCGAACAGCCTGAATGAAGAAAGAGAGAAAGAGAAGAGGGAAGAGAGAGAGAGGGCCCCTCCTCCGCCTCCGCCGATCGTCGCAGCCCCGCCGTCGCCTCTGCCTCGCAGCCTCCGCCTCTGCCTCCGCCCCCCGCCCCGCCTCCAGCCTGATTTTGTTGGCCCTTCCAGTTCTTCTTCTTCTTCTTCTTCTTCTTCTTCTTCTTTTTCTTTTGATTTTCTTCTTCTGAAAAAAATAAATAAATAAAAACGACAAAACGACGTCGTTTTTTAATTCGGAGGGATTCGGGGGCCTCTCTTTCGAGCTACCAATCACTTCTGCAATAATGTTATATGTAGGTAGGGTTGCAAATATAACCTAAACATATATATATATATATATATACGGGAAAGTTTCGGGGCGGGGGCGGGCCAAGGCCGAGGGCAGAAAATTTATCATCGTCCCCGGCCCGAAATTGATTGGGGATTTAATTTTGAATACCATCCCCCGTCCCCACGGGAATATTTTTCAGAAAAAAACCATTCGTCCCCGGCCCGAAATTGATTGGGGATTTAATTTTGAATACCATCCCCCGTCCCCACGGGAATATTTTTCAGAAAAAAACCATTCTAATCGGTGTCGGGGGGGTCGGGTCCATGTCGGACCAAGTTGAAATTGCCATCCCTATTAATAATTGCGATATAAAATGGAAATTAAAATTAATTCTTCTTCCAAACCAGTATTGGAAGAAGAAACTAAAAAACCATGAATTTATTTATTTAGCACTTAACATTGGTTTGTTCATCAGCAATATTGTTCATATTCTTGTATTTTTATGCCAGACTTTTCTTCATACTCTACAAAAATAAAAATAAAAATAAAAATCGTATTTTACAAACTATATAAACCCTAGATTAGAAATAGACTTGGGAGAAAATAGTGATGAAGCATCCAATTATAACTTGGTATTATCTTCTCTTAATATTGGCAGAAATATGAAAAGTTGCAACCAGAAGATAATCATTAATAATAGGAATTAATTAATATTACAAGAGCACCGACTATATCAACCTAATTATACATCAATGCTTCAACTACAAAGGAAAAGGAAAAGAAGTAAAGAAGAAGAACAATAAGTTCTCTTTGGGCTAAGAAAATTGAAAGATCATATAATGATATGTACATCCAATCAAAATTAATTAATAAACATAACACACCAAAAAAACATAGACACAAACAATGTCCCAACCTTCTTTATGTCGGGTTCAAATCTCGAGAAACTTGGCCCTGCCATCTGCATAACAAAAGAGTGAAAGAAATTCAAATAAGATTGCAACAATATTAACCAGTGAAGAAACTTGTATTAAAACAGAAATTAAAAAGGGTGAAACTTGCATCTGAGCCTCAAGCTGAGCCACACTGGCAAGTTTCTAAATTCACAGGAACATGGCATCCTGATGAGGAGCCAGAAGGACTTGGATGAAGATTAAGTATTTAGTTTATAGTTAATTTTCTTAATGATATAAAATGATTTATCATTGATAATTATTGTAGTTTTTATTTTTTGAAACTTTTTTAATTGGGGTTTTTGGATGTATATAAATAGGCTATTATGTAATAGGTTTATTCAGATTATCATATTGAATTGAGTGGAAATTTTCTGATAAGATTAGAGAATTTGTCTTTCTTTTTTTCTTTTTTTATTTTATTTTCTTTAGGTGTGGCTTTTCTTTTCTTTTCTTTTCTTGGCGGATTGCAATGCCAAAGAACCTTACAATAAGATGATACTTATAATTTGATCTTTGAAGATGTTTTCTGTTATCTATCTGACACACAACCCCAACAAAAGGAGGGGACAGAGAAGGAAAGAAATAAACAAACAGAACTTATTGAGCACCGTAAATTTTCATTAGATACATGTATTTACAGGTTGGACTATAATTGTTGTGCAATCATTTACCATTTGCAAGACATGGGGTCTTGAAAAATGGGGTGTTTCTCGAAAAATGGGGTGTTTCTCGAAGCATGAGTGCTCAGATGCATAGTTGTGTGTATTAAATTTCAGAATCAAAACAGATTATCAATCACACTGACAAGACGAACCTTGAGAGCAAGAACTTTGCTAGTGAGCTTAGATTGGCATTCGAATGAAATTCCTTATTCGGTTGCTTTTTCCTGCTATCAACTTCAGGATTTGTATTCTCTGCCTGTTCAGGAGCCATCTCGCCCTTGGTAAAGATGCGAGCTGCCAGCTCCTGCAGATCTTTCAATGAAGATTCCTTCGAACTGCATGCAATTTCTACTACTTGAGTAACTTAGGATAAATATATGAATAATGATCACCTTTTCAAATATTATATAAAAACATAGCTAGATAAGAATATGAAAGAATTCGCAAACCTTCCAAGCCGATGAAGCAACCTGGTGACAAAAACTTCACTAGAACCTGGCTTCATGCACTCCATATCCATGAGTGAACTTGACACTGCATGCACGACTGGCCCTTCTGAATCATCGGCAATGGCCTATATTTGCAAACAAGTCATAGGAGGTAAGGCATTGCATCTACATGCCTTGTTTGTAGCATTCTCTTAAAGCACTCAAAACTCCAATGAAGATATTATTGTTGCATAGGATACTAGCAATGGGAAAAATCAACATGCAAGGGGATTTTGATCCAACGGATTTGCAGATTATAGAAAAATTACTCAGAGCCACAGTTTCTGTGACTAGGCTAAAACAATGTTTCATACTTTATACATAGAATCATAGCCATTGATTCATATTAATAGCTTCTTCAAAACATTTTACAACATCTGTATTACCAAGAAGTTATAGGGCACAGATAATCTCAATTAATCATCAATTTTTGTCTAGTTGACCTTCTCTTGAAAACTAGAACTAGGCTCTTCAGTTTTGAATTTGACTAGTTATTCCCCTGATAAAATAAAATGTTTCTAGGGAATTTCATTTTCGAAGGAGTGTTTGGGACCAAGGCTAAACTTGCTGAGCCACAGATCTATATAAGCAACAAATTCTAGTGATGGTTGAAGTCGATCCAAAATCAATTTGCCAATACAATTTCTCTACTCAAATAGAAATATCGAACATGGCATGCCATGTCATGATCTCCAATGATCTTGGATCCATGTGTCAATCTTAGGAGGTGAAATGTGGACCAGTCACGGATCTCCACATGCTCTCCTCCGAAGTTGAGCCATGTCGGTCAAAACTAATGTGAGCACTGCCCTAGCCTCAAGCCTAGGCACTGAGGGACATTCTAGAGGTATATCCTAATCCATTTGACTAGACATGCTAGGGTTGAGGATTCGTCTCCCATTCTCCTTTGGACTTATACATTGACAAGTCATAGAAAAAGAGATTCCAGACAATGATAGGGACATGCAGAATGCTCCATACTTCATACCTGAGGAGCACACCCAACCATCGTTCTAGTCACTAAGACCCCTGAGGCCTTTTGAGTATTTCAGCACCACTACCAATAGTAGCTGCTACCTCCAGACTCTGGACCAAAGAGGACAAGTAACCTGTTCCCTTCACCCGAGTATGTGACACTGCACTCAAGTGACCTGGCTTCCAAAGCCCAACCCTCATATAAATAGGTCACCACCTCCATGCATGTGATGAATTTTGTTCTTCCCTTCCGACAAGCTCTCCACTACCTCTCTCTGTTCATCTAAGATTGCCTTAGCTCTCACCTTTTCCACCTTTGGCGGTCCTACGCCTACGCCATCTCAATGCTTACCATAACTTCCAAGAGGGCTCCACAACCAACCCACTCATCACCCACCTTCCACAATCATCAATGGGTTTACTGGAAGACATGAAGTCTTTATCAGGATGTATAATCTTTTCTCCAGACAACTGTAATTCATAACGAACCCGTTTTTTATTTGGATAAGAAATTGAATTTATTGCACAAAATGAGATGCACAAATTACAAATACTATTGGCCCAGATACTCCGCTTTCATGACATTCAGCTAAGCAGCCCCCACAGATATTAGATTACATTTGAAAAGACTACAACAATTGAGTAATGCATGTTTACCCATATAACATAAGATTGGATTGGAATCTCTAGCACTTACATCTTTTAGTGAAGGGATTAGCAACATTGATAATGGAGCCGATAATGAAGCTGCAACAACTCTGGCATTGTCTTCCTCATCACTTGCTTGGCGTGATCTTTGAAATACTTTTTGCGCATCAAAGAAATCACGAGAATGTCTGAAAGAGAATTTCAATTTCAATTAGAATTGTCAAAAATAAAAAATCGACTTCCTTTTCTAAACCAAAAAACTATTATGAACTTGAAATAACATGTACCTTGAAGAATCAGAGCTATTTGTTGATTGTTCTGATTTTCTACTTTCTTGCCCATCCCTATTGACCTTGCTCAGTGCAGACCTTTCCCGAGCATTTCCTTTCCTTAATCCTCCTTGAATTGCAGCCTTTGCCTGAACAAAATACATTATAGAACCTTTTAACACAAACCAGCACTATCATACAAGTAATAACCAGGATTTATCAGAACCAATCAGGATAATGTAAAAGGAAAAGGTGGCAATCAATGAGGAGAATAAAAGCCAGCAAGTTGAAATTGACAAAGATAGTGGAATTTCAAGGAGGAGAAAGATATGGATGTTTAGAGGTGAAACTTGATAACACAGGATTTCCACATACAATTCGAGAGACATTCATAATTTTCTGAGATCCATTAATAGTGGTCAATGCATTCACTAAATCAATTGACAACAAGAAACTATCTGTTGTCCTCTCTTCTTTCTCAAAAAATTCTAAAAATATGCTCACAATCTAATTTGAATAAATGAAAATAATATTATAACAACCTCAGCAAGGTTCATCGTGCTGTCTTCAGATGCACTTGAAGTTCTTTCTTGGATACCCAGTTTAGGCTTTGGAGTTCGAGGAGAATCTGAATCATGTTGTCCACGGTAGACAACAGTGCCACTGGTGGAAGAATCTTCAAAAGAAGCATATGTGCTACTAGACTAGAAGGGAAATTGAAAACTGGTCAATTCAATTGCAAGCACAGCATGAGGAAAAAACTTTCGTCAACTCAGTATTTCTTCATCTCAACCAAATGGTGATCTTACCAAAATACTTCGGTCACTAAACAGAGAGGATGACTGAACTCTAGGAGATCGTACAACGACAGTTCCAGTTCCACTCATTGATAACTCTTCCTGTAAATTGAACACTTAAAACAACTCAGAAGATAAGGGAGTTTATAAATATACTAATGATCCAAAACATAACAAATTCCCAAAACCCTGCAAGTTGACTAAATTTTATGCCAAGACATTTCATCTCAATTTTTCTTTAGCCCATTAAATTTGTGATGAATTTGATCTAGTGAACTCAGAGGTGACAAGATTGCCAGCCCACTCAGCAGCAAAGTTGAAAAGTTTTCAAAAGATACTGTTTATCTTGTTTATATATATATATATATATATTCGATCACCAACAAAGAAGAAATTATATTAGAGAACACACAACATATTTATTTGTTAGATTTTTAGACGAACTGTCCGATCAAACTACATGTACCCAACTCCTAGGAAAGACGCTTCATACCCCTATAGTTTGGTACCTGGCACAAACCAGCTTGATCTGAGTGTCACAAGCACTCATGCAGGCATCAAATACCCTAGTCAAACATTAGAATGTGAAGGTCCTGGCAGGTCCTGGCTGACACAGCAGACAATCATGTAAGCACTACCTTTTTTTATAACTCGGTGTTTCACCTTCTCTCAATTGTATAGCGAGAATGGCTAACCTCTCCCTGCTCAAAGCAAGTAGTGTTGTGCCATCTCCATTCTTCATTCAACTTAGTAGCCCCATTTCTTGGTCACCAAAAGACAGGAGAAGGGCAGTCTAAAGTTCATAGCCACTTCTACTGTTTAGTCACAACATTTTTCAGGCTCCAAGAGAGAGAGGGAGAGAGAGAGAACCTTACATCTTCATGGTAAAATTCGTATTTTTCATCAAGATATTGATCTCTAGCATCTTTCTCAACTTCATCATAAAGCACACTTCCAGAAGCAGAAGGCCACTGATTACCACCATCTGGTGCTTTTCTTGGAACACCTTGTTTGTGTGAAACCTCTGGTTTCCTTTCTCTAGCCTGAGGCGGCTTTACAACACTTCGCACTGTTCCAGTACTAGCATTATGTGATCCACCAATACTGAAGTCCCATCCAGCATTGTTCAAGGTTTTCCCCTGGCTACTGTAATTAAATACCAGTTAGCCAACATTTAACTAGACAACAAGCCTACAACAAGCACCTGACAGATTCAACCCACCTGGCTCGGACAGTTCCTTCACCTTTTGGGTCTCTTATCACCTTCATGGTACCAGATGCCTCCCCTATAGGACCATTTCCAGAGGTTTCTTCATCTTCCTTTAATTGGAACTTAGGTCGCTCTCTGTCAAAATAACAAAAATCGGGAGCAGATCACTATGATAAATAAGTTAACAAGGGCAATCATATATTAATGAGGTTGAAATTTTGATCAATATCTCCAACACCTATCAATATCTATACAAGTCTATATATTGATATCAAAATCCAGTATTTTGAAGCACTTAAATATCTAAAATTTCTTCCAAGAGCGAAGTTAATATTAATGCCTCCATTATGTCATGTGTTTTGAATCCCAAGTGTGTAAGTCAGTTTGTTTTTGCATGTAACTCCAAATGCTATAGCCACACTTCCAAAGTACATTGCTAAAAAATGAGACGATAGCAACACAACACACCTTATTCTCTCCAAAAACCTTGGATTCTTCTTAGCATTCCTGATAAAACGGTGCTTTAGAAGTTCCTTGGCACTTGGCCTCTGAAATTAATAAGATATGAGATAGCATGAGAAAATCTACATGTAGCAAAGATCAAACTTAACAATGGACAATATGTCAAAATCTCATCCATTCCAACAGTAAAGTTTAATAGGCAAAAAGTGGAGATGAGCAATTCGTTCTCTATCAAGCTGAAGCATAGTTTTATAAAGCTTACTTATCAAAAACTGTTGATCCTTTAATGAACTATAGAACGAATTTTCTCGATTCCAAACATCTTACAGAAATGTTTAAATCTCAGTGAATAAAATCCTGTAAAACAGATTCAAAAAATGAGGCAATACCATTGTGTGCACTAGTAGTCTGCATACATATCAAACATTTACTTTTAAGGCTTTAGGTGTGAATTTCCCAACCATAAACATGTTGGAAGATGTGGCATGCACATCATAAGTTTCTAAGAATACTGACTCAACTTCTAGAAGGGCATGCATAAAAAACGTTCCACAAATTGTCAAACTTTTATCTTATGGCTCATCTCAAATCAACGAAGCTGGTTCCAAAACAAGTTTCACTTGTGATTATAAATCCTAGCATTCATGACAGACAGCAGAAAACAAAAGGGGTCATAAGTTAACCTAGTCCAAGGACATGGCATTGTCAATATTACCAATGCAAATACTGAAGCTCCTTTAGGTGTCACAAACTCTTGTCCTAGCTCATCAAACAACAATAACAATGAGATTCTGAACATCAATTTAATCATAAACGCACATACATTCCATGTCTCAAAACAATGAAATATAATTTCAAAATGATGCTGTATCTTGTGCACCTGAAATGCCAATCCAGACCCAAGAAAACATAAATTCTAAGACATTTAAAATTTTAACCTGGCATCTGCTACAAAGATGCATCAGCCAAATAGATGCATCTAATATATTCACAGAGAATACTATGCAGTTCGTGTCAGTACCAGGTGCCACCTGGTTGCCAAGTCGAGCAAACTTGTTGCCCATACCACCACCATCACCCCCACCCCCCAAAAAAAAAAAAAAAAAAATTCACATAACAGATGGCCTTACCACAATCAACATGTTTGGTGAGTTGATGAAATGGAGGCCAAAGATGGGGAAAGTGGTTAGAGGTGGTCGAAGGGGAGGGAGAAGGGGACGAAAACTTGTTTTGAAAAGTAAAAACCTTTTTTTGTTTCCTCAAATTTTGAAAATTTTTAACTCTTTCCTTGTTTTGGAAACAAAAAAAAGTAACAAAATATATTTCTGTTTACAGCTTCCAATTTTTTGAAAATAAAAACAAAAAATAGAAAACAAAAATGTTACCTAATGGCCCTTAAAATTAAAAAAACAATTTAAAAAAAATTAAAAAGGAAAGAAATGAAAACTGGTCATAAGCTAGGCTGCCTAACAAACCTTAAAAACTATACAGTTCATAGTGCACATGACTCCCACTTACAAAAGGATCTTGAAGAGGTAGTAAGTAGGTAACCTTCTCCCCACTCTCTTGTGAGAGCTTGATTCTCTTAACTCAAACCCATGCCACAATGCTAGGAGTGGATAGCAGTTGCCATCACTCTAGGTCACAAATTCACAACCCCATGATTTTGTGTCCTCTTTTTATCCATTTTGTCATACATGATCTAACATAAATTATGTAGATGTCAAGCATGAGGGAGAGCAACTATATGTTAGTAAAGATTTTGTTTTTATTATTGTAAGTATATTTTAGGAATCCAGGCCACGTGTGTTAGTTAACTAGTATCCAAAATGAGTGCAACACAATGTCAAGTATGAATATCAAAGATTGTTATTGGAAGTATACATGGAGACATGGCACCAAAAAGTGCTAAAAGGCCCAAAAATTCTCTCAGTATGTTTGTCTAGACTAAAAAGGGAACTCCACAAAGTTCAACAATTTTTTTTCTTTTTCATTTTTCATTTTCTTTTGGGGTGGGGTATGCGGGGTTGGCTTGGTTGGGAGCCAATTCAATCCCCAAAGTTCACATAATGCCTTGTTCCCTAAAACTACGAATGCATATATAAAAATGATAACAGACTTTTTTTTCATTGTGAAGCCTGCAAGAAGAGGCAGATCAAATTAATTGTTACTGATCATAAGAAAAAGATCAAATTAAACACAACCCAACACAGCACTTCTCAACCATTTAGGATTTTCTATGGAAAGTGAACTACATAGGAAAATAGCTCTTAGCAAGAACATCCAGTGTTGTGAATGACCCATAAGTTTCTCCATAATCTACACCACAAAATTTCACAATGAGATGAGTAAAAAAAAGGCAGGAATTTTGCGGGCATAGGTACCTACCTCAGAAGGAACCTTCTTTAAACACAGGGAAACAAATTCTTTCATAGGACGAGAAAAATGTTCATCCAACTGCACAAGAAAAATTAAATAACTCACTTTAATTGAAAATTTTATTTATTGCATATGGAAATTGTCTAATAATCAAAATCAAAAAACAAGAATGATTAGTCAACATGACATCGAAGAACCTCTTAAAAGAAAGAGGGCATTTGGTGCAGGAGAACACAAGACAAAAGGAACAAATCAAATAATACAAAGCAAACCTGTGGAGGATTTTCCCGAGGAATAATGAAAAGAACCCTCATTGGGTGGAGATCCGCAAGTGGAGGTTCTCCTTTTGCCATTTCAATTGCAGTTATCCCCAGAGACCAAATATCAGCCTGCACAAGCAAAGGTTGTCAGCATATGGCAATTACTCAAAGCTCAGCAAGGCTACAAATGGCAACTGAGAGGGAGGGCCAGTTGATAGCAATGATGGACATAGTACAAAAAAAAACAACTCCAAAAAATCAAAAGGACCCAAGGGTACTGCGCCAAGATATACCTTCTCATTGTATCCTTCTGTATTTTGAATTACCTCAGGAGCCATCCAAAATGGTGTTCCTACAAAAGTCTGTCAATGTTAAATGCATTAGTGATGCCCTTGATGATTAGAGTGCAAGATTTCCATCCAATCATAGAGGACAAGAAAATCATGGAAATAGTTTTAAAATGCAGAACCTCTAGAAAAATACTCATCAGGTTCTTGGATAGTCTAAGAAGATGGGAAAAGGTATATGTATATAATGTAGTGAGGCAGAAGGCATAATGTCTTCAAACCAGACACAAAAATCTCATGCATCACATACTAGACAAATCTCCAGTAAGAGTTATTATTTCATATTTAACTAAATTAAGCAAAGACAAAGTTTAGACCGATAGACTCAGTGTTGATGGGAAACCAGGAAGGCAATGCGCAACTGCTAAAGAGAGGGGAAAACAAAAAAGGGAAAAAAATTACTAATCAGATAATCATATATAAGAGGATGGGCTGGAGCACAACATGGAGTTCTCTCTCTGGAGTTCAAAGCTTCCCTCTCTAGAGTTTTCTCATGGTATCTAGCTGTGGAGAACATGGATTCTTATGCCACAGAAAACCCAATTTCTTCACTGAATTAATCTTATGGGGTTGTTCTAGTGATTCAACCAGTGTGCTATTTGTTTACTATTTTTCCTTTGGGTTTTGTTTACCCTTTGGCCATGTTTGATTGGGGGTTTGGGAGGGTGGATTGGACTACCAATCTGTGAGACCACCAAACCCTTGTTTGGATGCAACAAAATGTCATAGGAATAGTAGTGAAGGAGGCTTAGTAATCCTCCTATGTAGGGGGATTAGCTTAGGTGAATTTTAGGTGAGATTAGGAAAATAATGAGGGGATTGAGTCTATTTTATATAAAAAAATTAGTTTTTTAATTTTTTTTTTTTTTTTTTACCAAGTGCACCTATTTATTTTAATATTTGTTTTAGTTTTTTTTAATATAGAAATAATTTATTTATCTATTTTATATAAAAATAATTTAACAATCCCATCACTAATCATCTCGCACACTATCATCAAAACAAACACACTTTTACTTAATTCCCTCACTAACAATCCTCTCACTAATAATCTCATCCAACCTAATCCGCCAAACAAGCATGCCCTTTGTGCCTAGACAGTCTGTTTCAGGAGGGTGTTTTAGTGCTGGTGCTTATTACTTGTTGGTTTCCTTTTTCCTCTTGTGAAATCATCATAGCTAGGATGGCTTATAGTTCTTTTGAGGCTCAGCTAAGCATGTATAGCTAGAGTATGCTATCTTGCTGACCTATCTTTGTTTGATGGGGTGCATGCCTTTGTGCCTTTAGACTCTTATTTCCTCTTCATTCTCTTTTCCTAATCAGGTGAAGTTGAGTGGCTCTTGAAGCAGAGTGTCATGCATGACACCGTCTCTGGTTACAATGTGCTTATGGATGGGATGGAGAGTTATTGGAGTTTGGCATATGTGCCTTGCTAGCTGGGTTTTTGGGTTCCTGTTTTGTTACCTTCAGTGGTGACTGGTTTTTTTGGGCTTGCTGATGTTTGAGTGCAGCGAGATGATTAGTCCAATGCTCTTATGAATGGAACTTATTAGCTGGTTGGTTTAATTATCTGGTCGCCCACAACTGGCGTTTCAGACTGATGGGCCAATGCCCTCACTGTTTGGACTAGGCTCAACCCTCATGTTTGGGATGATGATTAGGTTTTGTGGAGAGAGAGGTCAGGGGTTGCAGCTTGTCAAAACTATGAATCAACTGAAGCACTGCTGCTGCAATAGCTGTATGTGAGGAAGTTGTCCGTTGCCCACATGAGGTTGTACAAGTAGAGACCTGGGAATGAGTGGAGTTGACTGGATTTTACCCCAACTACCACTCAGCCTTAATCTTATGCGTACACATGGCAGGTTTTAAGTTAAATGGGTTGACCTCTTAGTTTGTGCGGACTTTTTCCTGCACTCCTCTGTTTGGGATTTTAAACTGGTTACGGTTTAACCAGTAGGTTTACCTATCTTGTTTGGTTACCAAAATAGTGTGTTGGCTTGTTGAGCTGCTGATGTGCCATGTGAAGATATTTCTAAAGATGATATATGTGGGTGAACTGAAGAGTCATCAGTGGTATCTGTCGTGTTGGTGGCCACCTGATTTTCTTGTGAGTTCCTCTTGGATGGTCCATTGTGTATGCTTGGTGCATGATAAGTGATGAGTGCCTCACTGGGGCATGTTTGGATGAAAAGTGTTTCTTATCATTTTCTTGTTAGCCTAGCTTTAGGCTTGTGAGGTCTTTATGGGTAGTGTGTACCTATGGGTATCTGTTTTTAAGTACATTGTAGCATCTTCTTTTTTTTATATCCCATAAGAACTTTGAAAACTATATATGTGAAAAGAATCTTTAGAAAAATAAAATAAAAATAAACCCCCAACCCCCCCCCCCAAAAAAAAAAGGATGGGCTGGTGCACTGTTGAGAAATGGAAAGGGGAACAATTAAAAAGCAGCAAGTCAGTTTGACTTGGACAAACTTTGATAACAAACAAAAAATGCAGAAAGAACCAAAAATGGTCTTCCTGATCTTTGATCAAGAATGATCTCTAAGAGATAGCAACAGTACCTTTCTTCTTGAGATAGTCCTTGTTAATTGTGCAGAAACACCAAAGTCAGCAACCTGTAACCACATCAAAAGCATGAACTTGAGCAAAACCAGAAACTAGTGCCTTTAAGTCTTGTTAGCTTGATATACATTGTTGGGCCTATTTTCTAATAGTGATCTAACATGTATCGGAGTTTTGGTTGGTTTCAATAAGTCCTGGGTTCAAGTCTTGTTATCACCCCCATTATTCTTGTTAATTGTGCACTCTGTTCAACATGTGCTGTTGCAGCTGTTTAGTTCAGTCTATTTGCCTCTTCAAATGTGAGAAGGAATCACACGTGAGCAAGAGTGTCAACTTGATATAAATTGTTGGGCTCATGTCCTAAAATCCTAAGCTTTTGGGATAATTGGTGATCTAACTAGTCCAATTACAATTTGTATAATCTTCAGCCAATTGTTCAGGCTCAGTTGCAAGTAATTACAGACAACAATCAACTTGCTTGAGCATAAATTATGTACCTTAACATCCCCATTCTCTGTCAACAAAATGTTTGCCGCTGCCAAGATTACAACACACGTCTTGTCAGCACACAAGCATACATAGAAGAGGCCCGAAAGAATTCATATACATATGTAATAACCACCAATAAGGAAACAATTAGTTTTTAAAGGACATCATACCAAACACATCTTCTAAAAACCTTAGATTCATGAATTTTTCATACTATCATAGAGATACTGATATTAAAAAAATCTTGAGAAGAACCTTTAATATCTCTGTGGATTTTCCCTTCGTTGTGGAGATATTCAATGGCATGAAGCAAGTCGCGTAAAATGCAAGCTATAGACATCTCATCCAGTGGCTGACCTGGTTGAATCTGCACAAGCGCAATCTGCATTAGCACCTAAAATAGTACTTCATATATACATTGAATAAATCCATATATACGTACACATTCAGAGGAAAAGGGGAACGGAAAGCATGCCCTTTGATTGAGTGACAATTTCAGGAAAATCCTTATCTATGCCAAGATGCCAACATCATACACCATTTCTTTTTTAGGACTAGGTGTATGTATCTAAAGACAGGATCAATCTGGTTTTCTTTTATTTTTATTCATTCCAATGTGCAACGCTGGACAACATTATATCATTTCTTTTATCGGTGCTGATGTGCAGTACAATAATTATTCAGCCAATTTTAGTATATTTCTTTTTCTTCTTTATTACTACACAATTATTGTAAGACTCAAGTACCTATGACTATCTTTAGATACATAACCATAGCATTGATTCCACAATTGACAAAACCATAAGAACAAAAAGAGAAAAAAGAAAGATCACAGGATATTCTGCTCTGAATATAATCATTAGCTGGACAATCAGAAAGGAATAAAAGCATTGAAAAAGAGGTGTTAACTATGTTTTGCCATTTGTTCCTCTGAACATATGACACCAATTATTTGCTGCCGGGGCAGGAGCTAAGGCCTAGAGATTGGTAAGTTTAGGCAACATAAGGAGATTGGAATTGATAAACTAGGAAAAAAAATACATAAGCATTAATTGAACATTATGAAGCCAACAGCAGTAACATACTAGATCAGCAACAGAACCACCAGCCATGTATTCCATTATTATCCATAGTTTGGTTTGGTGAAGGTAGGATCCATAGTATTCTGTTATATACATTGATCGACATTGTTGTAGAACTGCTATTTCCTAGAGAGAGGAAAATTTGATTAAGATAAGAAACATGATTATTTATTTGCAACAAATTCAATCAACAAGTTCATCACATTTGCTATGCAATACCTTCTGAATGTCATCAATTTCATCTTCTCTGTGGAAGACAAATTCCAAATGTCAAAATTAGTCTAATAAAGAGTAATAATCACTGTACAGATGAGAGAAGCATGTTATGCACTCCATAGATACAACTTCCAATTATTACCACAGAAAAATACTGTAGCAAAAGGGGAAAATCATGTTAATATTTCAAATCAAACATAGAACTTCAATTCTAAATTACAAAGCCAACGAGAGTCAAAAGTTGATGGGGAAAAAATGTCAAAATTCTGATACACTTCCAGAATCTGCTAAGCAGTGAAGCTGAGACATGGCATGTGAGAAGCACAGATATTGGAGAAGCTCAGTTATTGATGGCTTTAACATTCCAGTGCTTGTCAAGGTTTTTTATCAGGAAAAAATCTCAGGATGAGTAAAAGAAAAGAGCAAAGCCCAATTAATTGGCATCCAGCTTATTGCATGTAATAATAGCAAATTAACCGCCTGCCTCAACTTTATGTATTTAAATGATTTCATTTAGCATACTACTCTATCAATCAATCAACTCTTCACAAAATCCCAAACGTGTAATTAGGCCACAGAAACTGATCAGATATGTGCACCTCTCTGATATGTCTAAATCCTTTACTGTGCCTTTTTAAAAATTCATGTAGGGGTATCAGATAGATCCAGGCATCTTATGTTGCAATGCCAGTAATAGTTTACACCACAAGAATGGTGATGCAAGTCTTTTACAAACAGTTTTTAGCAGCAATCAAACACTTACTGGTAGCTTTACAGGAAAAAGAAACCTCCTGAAACACAAGTTTACTCTAGAGAGAAGTATAAAGGACTGACCTAAACTAAAGCATAAATAAGCAGACATAATTAAAGCTATATACTCACGATTCTTCCAAGTCAATAACTTTAATAGCAACCACTTTGTTAAGCTCATTATCAAACCTGCAAATCAAGAAAGTTACTACCTTAGTATGCAAACAGATCATCAAATTATGTCATATACGAATTTCATAGATCACCAGAAAATCTTCAATGTGTATAAAGGCATGGGACAAGCCCCGTAATCTGAACCATATTTACCCATTTACTTCGAGTGTAGTCAAGGCTAATCTTGAATCATGATAAAGTTTCGTGGAAAAGTTTCATGTAGCTTCAGTGCAGACACGGTCTTAGTATTTGGCAGAATACAATGAACTAATATGTTCATGCCAATGTTTACTATAGCATGGATCATTAGTATGATATATGCTTATGTAGGCATATTGATGAACTAAAATATTTGCCTCTGTTGCAAATATAGTGGCTTCTTGTGAGACACTGTGATTTGGGATGACAGGCTTCATTTTAGTTACTGGGTCGTGAGATTCATAATATGTTCATGTCAATTCTATACATGTGCCGCATCAGTTCCACAATATAATTGATATAATTGTTAGGGTTGTGAGCTTCGCCTATCAAAGATCACAAAATATGATAGTTTTGACTAGCTAATACACTTGGTGGGTTAGATTCGAGCCATTGTGCCATGGTGGGTTAGATGCATGCATTCCCTCAACAAGGCATGCTTGGAACCCTCCCACTCAGCTCGTTCGAGTAGCTCTTCACCAAGGCATCCTCAGACTTCCGGCGTGCTCTCTCTCCGACCGAACATGCCACCTCCATTATATTTAGCTAATTGGTCCTTCGGTTGAGACACATATTCTTAAGTACTTCAGCTCGCTATACTTCTAAGTTGTACCTTAACGCCACATTGCTTACCTAGGCTGGGAGTGGGGCCTAGGAACCCCACTCAATAACACCAAACGACGTGACTTGGAGGCAAGAGTTGAAGAATTGTCAAGGTTGCCTAGCTCTCCACTACCACTCTCGCTTACTAAAGGCTGCCACCACTCTCTTCTCCCCAGCTCCGATGGTCTTGCACCATCAATATGCCTACCATTTTCCCATAAGGTTCACTCCAAACACTTCATCACCAGTTACCATCCACATTTTGCTCCAATAGTGGAGAGTGGTACCTACCATGAATGGCACCCAAGAAGAGTAACAACCCTTCTTATGGAGGCGCCACTGCTTTTGAAAGTAGCTTGGAGGTTACTAAAGTCTCTTGGCAACAATCACCTTCCGATGTCTCATCGAATAATCAATCCTTCAACTTATTGTCATCGACTAGCTCCATTCGCTGACTAATAGCTTAGCCAGTGTGCACAAGGCCAACATATCCTCCTACAGATCTTGCTTAATGCAACAAAGAAGCATTGGTAATTCTCTGCCACCTGCACAACGAGCCACCCCACCAAGATGGTTCCAAAGTTAACCCCTCCACATTTGCCGACTATGTAACTAGGACCCCTCTCCCACTTGCAAAATGAATTCCTGTTCCAATTCATGCTTCATCCCCCCCAGTGGGAACACCATCAATAGGGATGACCTCTCTCGGGGTAGCCTCAGCTTCGATCCCACCAAATCCCATCTAGGCTCCTGCACGGGAACCAAAGTTTGCACTCAAGTTAAGAAACATGTGTGAGCCCTCCATTAGTCAAAGCCGTCCCAAACTCCTCTTTTACTTGACCTTGACCTTTGCCAATGATTGTCAGAATCATTGACACGCTTAACATACACAGATTAGACTGTAACCTCCATCTAATCTAACAGAGATCTTCAAATCTCTCACACACAAGACTTACTCTTGGTAGGCCAACCTTCCCCCTGGCTCCATCACATCTTGGGAAGACTTGGTAAAGAAGTATTATGTCATCGAGAAGCATCACACTAGAATGATGCAGATATGTTAACGTATGTTTGTCACTTTCGAGAACAAAAGATAGATGTTTACAACCCCATTTCTGAAGATCATTTGGTAAGAATATGCATCAAGAGGATGGGCACTCCCCAACCCCCATGCCCACTGAAGTTGTTAAGGCACTCTTGGATGCCTGGGTAGAAGATGTAAAGGTAGCATTAACCAGAGCCTAAAAATCCCCCAACCCCCATGCCCACTGAAGTTGTTAAGGCACTCTTGGATGCCTGGGTAGAAGATGTAAAGGTAGCATTAACCAGAGCCTAAAAATCCCCCAACCCCCATGCCCACTGAAGTTGTTAAGGCACTCTTGGATGCCTGGGTAGAAGATGTAAAGGTAGCATTAACCAGAGCCTAAAAATCCCCCAACCCCCATGCCCACTGAAGTTGTTAAGGCACTCTTGGATGCCTGGGTAGAAGATGTAAAGGTAGCATTAACCAGAGCCTAAAAATCCCCCAACCCCCATGCCCACTGAAGTTGTTAAGGCACTCTTGGATGCCTGGGTAGAAGATGTAAAGGTAGCATTAACCAGAGCCTAAAAATCCCCCAACCCCCATGCCCACTGAAGTTGTTAAGGCACTCTTGGATGCCTGGGTAGAAGATGTAAAGGTAGCATTAACCAGAGCCTAAAAATCCCCCAACCCCCATGCCCACTGAAGTTGTTAAGGCACTCTTGGATGCCTGGGTAGAAGATGTAAAGGTAGCATTAACCAGAGCCTAAAAATCCCCCAACCCCCATGCCCACTGAAGTTGTTAAGGCACTCTTGGATGCCTGGGTAGAAGATGTAAAGGTAGCATTAACCAGAGCCTAAAAATCCCCCAACCCCCATGCCCACTGAAGTTGTTAAGGCACTCTTGGATGCCTGGGTAGAAGATGTAAAGGTAGCATTAACCAGAGCCTAAAAATCCCCCAACCCCCATGCCCACTGAAGTTGTTAAGGCACTCTTGGATGCCTGGGTAGAAGATGTAAAGGTAGCATTAACCAGAGCCTAAAAATCCCCCAACCCCCATGCCCACTGAAGTTGTTAAGGCACTCTTGGATGCCTGGGTAGAAGATGTAAAGGTAGCATTAACCAGAGCCTAAAAATCCCCCAACCCCCATGCCCACTGAAGTTGTTAAGGCACTCTTGGATGCCTGGGTAGAAGATGTAAAGGTAGCATTAACCAGAGCCTAAAAATCCCCCAACCCCCATGCCCACTGAAGTTGTTAAGGCACTCTTGGATGCCTGGGTAGAAGATGTAAAGGTAGCATTAACCAGAGCCTAAAAATCCCCCAACCCCCATGCCCACTGAAGTTGTTAAGGCACTCTTGGATGCCTGGGTAGAAGATGTAAAGGTAGCATTAACCAGAGCCTAAAAATCCCCCAACCCCCATGCCCACTGAAGTTGTTAAGGCACTCTTGGATGCCTGGGTAGAAGATGTAAAGGTAGCATTAACCAGAGCCTAAAAATCCCCCAACCCCCATGCCCACTGAAGTTGTTAAGGCACTCTTGGATGCCTGGGTAGAATGCCCACTGAAGTTGTTAAGGCACTCTTGGATGCCTGGGTAGAATGCCCACTGAAGTTGTTAAGGCACTCTTGGATGCCTGGGTAGAATGCCCACTGAAGTTGTTAAGGCACTCTTGGATGCCTGGGTAGAAGATGTAAAGGTAGCATTAACCAGAGCCTAAAAATCCCCCAACCCCCATGCCCACTGAAGTTGTTAAGGCACTCTTGGATGCCTGGGTAGAAGATGTAAAGGTAGCATTAACCAGAGCCTAAAAATCCCCCAACCCCCATGCCCACTGAAGTTGTTAAGGCACTCTTGGATGCCTGGGTAGAAGATGTAAAGGTAGCATTAACCAGAGCCTAAAAATCCCCCAACCCCCATGCCCACTGAAGTTGTTAAGGCACTCTTGGATGCCTGGGTAGAAGATGTAAAGGTAGCATTAACCAGAGCCTAAAAATCCCCCAACCCCCATGCCCACTGAAGTTGTTAAGGCACTCTTGGATGCCTGGGTAGAAGATGTAAAGGTAGCATTAACCAGAGCCTAAAAATCCCCCAACCCCCATGCCCACTGAAGTTGTTAAGGCACTCTTGGATGCCTGGGTAGAAGATGTAAAGGTAGCATTAACCAGAGCCTAAAAATCCCCCAACCCCCATGCCCACTGAAGTTGTTAAGGCACTCTTGGATGCCTGGGTAGAAGATGTAAAGGTAGCATTAACCAGAGCCTAAAAATCCCCCAACCCCCATGCCCACTGAAGTTGTTAAGGCACTCTTGGATGCCTGGGTAGAAGATGTAAAGGTAGCATTAACCAGAGCCTAAAAATCCCCCAACCCCCATGCCCACTGAAGTTGTTAAGGCACTCTTGGATGCCTGGGTAGAAGATGTAAAGGTAGCATTAACCAGAGCCTAAAAATCCCCCAACCCCCATGCCCACTGAAGTTGTTAAGGCACTCTTGGATGCCTGGGTAGAAGATGTAAAGGTAGCATTAACCAGAGCCTAAAAATCCCCCAACCCCCATGCCCACTGAAGTTGTTAAGGCACTCTTGGATGCCTGGGTAGAAGATTTAAAGGTAGTATTAACCACAGCCTAAAAAACCCCAATCTAGAAATCACCATGATAGTCTTGAGGAAGTGATCTACTGCTACATACATGTTACAATGATATAATCTTTAGACGCCCAATGTAGTATTAATTAAGTAAAGCAGGATGTCTCGTTAACAATAGGCTGGCTAATGGAGCCAAAAATAGAGAAATGCCAAATCAAACAATACACAGTAATTCCATCCTTTGATTTATGATGTTAAAGTGACTAAGATTGTGAGCGTGCAGAGACCCTAAAATTGGTTATACCCAAGGATCTAGTACTGTCTTGTGTCCTAGTCTTGCAAACAAGCAGTAACATGCTTTATGAATAAGTAACAATTGTAATTTAAGAGTCCAGTTTTGCACCTACACCAACTTTCAATAGGCTTAAAAAAAATGATTATGTTAAATTTTTATATACCCACAATAATTTTAAATGGGAAGAATGAATCATAATTCAGATGATGTTTTCATTATGAGTGAAAGAGAATCCATTTATACTAGACTACAACCTCTCAAAGCAGAATGTGAGGAATAACAGATTGTAATCAAATCATAACTACGAAACCGGTAGAATTTTTTATAGACTTACCCTTTATAGACATCACCAAAGGACCCCCTTCCAATCAGCTCCAAGTCACTAAATCTGGATCCTGTGGCCTCCACAAGAGCAGCCGCATCAGCCATCTTTACATACAGGCCCTCTCCCTCCTCAATCTCTAAGTAAATAAGCCAAGCAGACCAATCAAATAAACCTTCCCACTTCCACTTCACATAGTTGAATTCCCATATTCAAAGAGGTTGATATAAATTCAATGTGGGTTTCAGCCATCAAACCTGAAGCAGCGATAATATCAATAAGTTCATCAATTTATAAACATAAATACACACATAACAAGCAAAACCAAACACAATTTGAGATCTGGAAATTTATTAAAACAAAATTATATATCATAATGTGGGAAGTTCTTGGGGTCAAGTAAAAGCATTGAGTTGAGATATAAAACTGGAATTGTAGGTGGAGTGGGGAGTGCTAAAGTGACAGCCCAACCAATTCAGGTCATTCGAATACCACTTTGTGACAACGAAACGAAAGCGAAACAACAACGCAAAAACCGTGCCTTCAATGTGGGGTTTTAGGGTTCGTAATTGTTAGGGTTCGAGACTTACACGTTAATGCCGAATTTGAGAGACTCGTCGATGATGGTGGGTTTTTGTAGAAGTGAAAACAACGATACCGATCCAGAAGCACTCAATAAACCATGGATCTCTCTCTCTCTCTAAATATACACACACATATATATATATATATTTCTATCTGTATGTATGTATTTTCTCTCTCTAGGTTCTCACTCCTCTGCGTGTCGTCGTCCCCTCAGGGAGCCTCGCTGCTGTGCTCTCGGTGGCTAGAAGAAGAGATCGAGAAGTTGTTTCCAATGATGTTTTTGTCCCCCTGAGGTTTCAATCGTTAATTTTAATCATATAATTTGATTTAGGTCTGGACCGGGTACTTGAACCGGGCTTTTTTGGGGAAACCCTAGTGGTAAGCAAACTTATTTTGGGAAATAAAATTGTCCACTCGAATTTAATTGGGAAATATCATATTGATTATAAATATAAAATATAGTTACAAATCATTTTTTTTTCAATCATTACAAGAACTTCATAGTATTGGAGGAGGGAGATGGGGGACAATTCAAAATATTGTTATCAATGGAATTAGGGGTGGGGTACTTCCAATCAGAGATTTATCCAAAAATTAGTATTGCGGTAATTGAAAATCAAAATTTATGAGAAGTTGTTTAAAATTATTGAGAAATTAACATTTTATGATTACATTGATAATAATTCGACAAGAGAGAGATTATTCAAGATAGATTGGAACCATTGATATTACGTTTGGGAACAGGCTATTTTAGTAACTTTTTGACTTTTTACGAAAAGATGTACAGAAAAGTAGAGAGGTGATGTGACTAGTTTTAGTTGGCTTTTTGACTTTTTGATTAAAATAGTCAGTCCCCAAACGAGGCCTTAGTGTCATTTTGGAAACATAGTAAAAAGTCACGTTTTTTGACAAAACAAAATCCTTTTGGGAAGTGTCAAAAACGCAGCTTTAAAATTACAAATTAGGACCTATGAAAAAAAAATAAAAAAATAAATCTCTTATGTTGGGTAAGGGTATTTTGGTCATTTAATTTGATTTGACACCATAAATAAATATTAAACTAAAAAATAAAAAGTCAACTTTTTATTCACTTCCCAAATCACTTTCAAAAAAGTCAAAAAACTTGGTAAAAAGTCAAAAGTTAACTTTTTATCAACTTCCCAAAACAACCCTAAATAGCTCAATTATTTAAAAAAATTAAAAATTTATCGTAAGAAAATTGTAGTTATAGATTGGAACATATACACCCTACAATAAAATAGTTAACTATAATTTTTAATTAAAAAAATATCAAATAAATAAGAATTTGAAAATTATGAGATACCATTTTTTAGTCATTACAGTAACTTCATGGTATTAGAATAGGGAAGGGAGAGTGGCATGGATTCAAAACATGGCGATGAATTGTGACGATATATAGTTACGCAATTTATTTACAAATTAATTAAGTGCAACGGAATTTTTTTTACACCATTCTGATACATATTTCATCTACATATTATTGAGCTGTAAATTGTAATTAGCATATCTTACAATTAAATTATGAGGTAAGTTAAATAAAAGGGGTGATGCAGACTCCATCATACCCTAGTCCTAGACTAAGGTATTGCCTAAGACAATGTTTAAGAGCATCACACCGAGAGGCAACATAGAGTCAAACCCAGGTTGGAAATATTTTTGAATCGTTTAAATGTTAGGTCGTTACCCTCAAATGACGTATTGTGCCTGTCTCTAAGTGTTTCGAAAAGTGAGTAAGGAGCACCGCATTTATACTTGGGTGCGGTGGAAAATGGGCAGAAGTTCCCGCCCTGTCCTGGACGAGTGCGGGTAAAGAAGTTAGTCCAAGACTATAGGTTTAGAGTAGCCACTTAGAATACAGGAACCTTAATTGCTAAGACGATGGAGTTGGAAAATTTTATGATTAGGAGGAGAGTTAGTATAGCTTGCGTACAAGAAACTAAGTGCGCGGTGAGAAAGCTAGGGAAATTGAGGATACCGGTTTTAAACTATATTATAGTGGCAAGGATAGACGCAGGAATGTGGTAAGAATCTTAATTGCCAAGGGTCTTGTAGAGAATGTAGTTGCGGTCATTAGAAAAGGGGATAAGATTATGTTAGTTAAATTAGTTGTTAGAGGGAATATAGTGAACGTTATTAGTGCATACGCCCCTCAAGTAGGTTTAGATGATCAGACTAAGAGGGATTTTTAGGAGTAAATGGATGAAATCTTACAGAAGATACCTGTAGGAGAGAACCTGGTTATAAATGGAGATTTTAATGGCCACGTAGGCATAGATAAACTAGGCTATGAAAGGGTGCATGGTGGATACGGTTTTAGTGACAGAAATGAGGCTGGAGAGAATATCTTAGATTTTGCGTTGGCTTCTGACCTGGTGGTGGTCAATACTATGCATAAGAAGAGGGATGAGCTTTGATAACCTTTAAGAGTAGGTCAGTTAAGAGCTTCTTAAAGAGAAAAGTGGACTACCTAAAATGCAATGATTGTAAGGTCATTCCTAGAGAGAGCATGACCTCTCAACATAGGATTTTGGTACTAGATTTATGTTTTAGAGGGCAACACCAAGCTTGGAAGGATGGTGGGCGTCGTAGGACGAGATGGTGGGACCTAAAGGGGGATAAATTAGGAATATTTAAGAATAGAATGGATAAGGAAGGTACTTGGGACTTAGAAGATGATGCTAACACTATGTGGAACTCGATGGCCAATTGTATGAGGAGAATCTCAAGGAAAGTACTTGGAGAGTCGAAAGGAACGAGACCCAGCTCTAGGGAAACTTGGTGGTGGAGGGAAGAGGTTCAAGTGGTAGTTAAGGAAAAAAAAAAAAGTGTTTCAAAAAGAGGCAAAATGACAGAACTGAGGAAAACATTAAGAGCTATAAATTGGCTAATAAGGAGGTGAAAAAAGTAGTGAGAGAGACTAAGTTGAAAGCGTATGATGACCTATACACTAAACTAGATAGTAAGGAGGGAGAGAATAGGGATACAAACTTGCTAAGATACGGGAGAGGAAAACAAGAGATTTTAATCAAGTTAAGTGCATCAAGAGTGAGGATTCTAAGGTATTGGTGAGGGATAAAGCGATTAAGGAAAGATGGAAGAATTATTTTGAGAAACTATTAAATGAAGAACATGGAGGTACGGCAATAGGGGAAGAAATAGCCAGTAAAACGATAAACCAAGACTATAAATTCCATCGCAGGATTAGGAACTTTGAAGTGGAGATTGCACTTAAGAAAATGAAATTAAATAAGGCTTTAGGACCAGATGATAACCTTATTGAATTATTGAAGCTTGGAAGTGTTTGGAAAAAAAGGGGATTGCTTGGTTGACTAGGTTGTTTAGCAAAATTTTGTTGATTAGGAACATGCCAAATGAGTGAAGGAAGAGTATTTTAGTACCAATCTTTAAGAATAAATGAGATGTACAGAATTGCAACAACTATAGAGGAATCAAACTAATTTGTCATATAATGAAAGTGTGGGAGAGGGTGATAGAACGCCGATTGCAAGATATAACAGAGGTGTCAGAGAATCAATTTGGGTTTATACTTGGCAGGTCAACAATGGAAACAATCTATCTTTTGAGGAGAGTAATAGAAAAGTACAGAGAAAAGAAAAGAGACATTCATATGGTGTTTATCGACCTTGAGAAAACATATGATAGAGTGCCCCAGGATATAATATGGTGGGTGTTAGCGAAAAAAATGGTGACAAAAGGTTATATTGATATGATTAGGGACATGTATGAAGGGGTAGTGACCACTATTAGATCGCCTGCTGTAGAGACAAATGAATTTTCTATCACTGTAGGGCTACACCAAGGATCTACCTTAAGTCCTGTAGAAATTTAATGTATAAAGAGAAATAGAGAATTGTATTATTGATTGATTTATATTGTTATATATTACAATGATTCATGATTCCTATATATAGAAGAGGGTGAGTGTGTAGTAGGTAAGGAGTAGGTGAAGTGGAGGTGGTAGTGGTGTAGTGGGTTAGGTTTAGTATAGTAGGTGAGGTGGTAGTGGTGTAGTGGGTTAGGTTTAGTGGAGTAGGTTTAAGTGGGTGAAGTAGGTGGAGAGTAGGTGGATTTTAACAGCCCCCGCAAACTCAAGGGGGATAGGAACTAACCAACTTGAGTTTGGAGAGAGTAACAAAACAAGAAAATACATAAAAATAAAAGAGGATAAGGGACACTGTATGGTCGTGTCAGACCATTGGTGAAGACACTGGATGGTGGTGTCATAACGTTGTAGAGGACACTGTATGGGGGTGTCATAACCATGTAGAGGACACTGTATGGTGGTGTCATAACGGTGTAGAGGACACTGGATGGCGGTGTCAGACCGATGTAGAAGACAGTTTATGGGGTCATGTCGGACCGTTTTAGCAGACAGTTTACGGAGTCTTGTCGGACCCATGAAGGAGCTAACCGGAATCAATGTCGGGACAGTTTACAGAGTCTTGTCGGACCCATAAAGCAGCTAACCGGAATCAATGTCGGGACAGTTTACAGAGTCTTGTCGGACCCTTAAAAAGTCGCACCCTCAAAAGGTGTGCCCAATGTTAAAGGCGTGCCATCAAAAGGCGTGCCCAATCCATAAAAAGGCGTGCCATCAAAAGGAGAGTCTAAGTCATAAAAAGATGTGCCAGATATGATGGCGAGGCACGTGAGTGCCTTGGCTGGCGCGCCCGTTTGTCGTCTGGCGTCAAGTGGCGCGCGATACGCGTGGCTGCTTTGGCTATTTAATCAAGACGAAGGCTGAGGCTGAGGCAGAAGCTGAGACAGAAAAACTGAGAGAAACCTCTGAACTCTCGGAGAGCTTGTCTCTAAGAGCTGCAAATCTTGAAACACTCTGTAACCAACCCGTCTCTGAAACACTCAGCAACATGGCCTCTTCTTCCCGTCCAGCTACCCAGAACATGGCCTCCTCTTCCCGTGGTCTGCTCACGCTCTTTCCAGAACTGAACGAGTCCACAAGAGAAATAACTGGTGCGGTGGCCAGTGAACCTCAACCAAACACCTCTGGTTTTGCTCCATTGAACTTTCCGATGCGGTCGGTGGAGCAAAAAATGGCGGTGCAAACTGATATTGAGGCTAATCAGTATACTCTGAAGTCATGCGTGGAAACCATGACGGCGGTCACAAACCGGAAGTATTTTAAAATTATGACTATTTTATAACTTTCTCTAGCTTTTTTAAATTTTTTATCTACAAATGTTAGTTGTTAGATTAGCACCTATCAGAGAAAATCTCTCTACCCTTTGGGCACCAAA